TCCGGACGTTGGACCCTGCCTCCGATTTATCGTCCATGCCGCTGGGATCGAATTTTCAGCTTCGAGCAAACATCCCCGTTTTCGCAAGTTGGAGTGTGACTAGTCGCCTGTCTCTAAGGTAGACTTGAAGCTGTCCGACTTCCAGGCAAGCGACGGCGATTGGCCTGCTGAGCTTTCTGCGTCGCCTGGCAGCTGTAGGCCCGTTTTGGCGAGATCCGCCCTTCAATTGCTTCAGTTCGAGGCTGAATCGGCAAAGTGGAGAGGTTTCAGGCTCCCGATGACTGGTTGCTATGTCGCTTCGTCATGCTTCGTCGGGAAACTCGAGCCTTGAAACCCAAGCCTGGGTAGATTCAGATTACATGATGATTTTGTTCCAGATCTGGGCAACTTGAGTTGCAGCTTCCCAGCTTAGTCGACTCCGACGTGATGGATCCAACAACTGAAGATCCAAGTCCGGAACCCTGAGAGACTGGACCCAGAGAAATATCTGAGTGGAATAAATAATGTAAACCTTTGCTGTGAGCGTGTGCTCGTGTGAAAATTAGTGGTGCTTTCACTTCGGCTCATTGGCTGCATGTTTCGCAGCTGTGTGCCGCATTACCACCTTGCAATGCAAGCTTACACGGTAAGATTTCGGACTTACATGTGCGGCGCAGGTGAGGCTTTCGAGATCACAGAGCTTTGAGCATCGAGAGCTTCTGATACTGATTAGAACACTGTTGCCCGAAATTCACTACCGAAAATTCCTATGGAGCCTCGTAATCAAGTTTTGCATGTGTCTCAAAGGTTCGCTGTTTGCCGCGTAATCGCTATGTTCAGTATCGGCCGCCTACCGCAATAGATTTGTCTGCTAAGTGCCATAGACTCGCATGTGCTGGCTTGACATAAAGAAGGTTGGCACGCTGCTGCCTGGCCGCACTCTGGAGGGCGCCACTGGACTTGATTGAGCGCATGTCTCAACCTCACACCCTGGCACGAAAATCGGTTAGCAGCCTTCTCCTCAACATGAAATGTCGTGACCACGTTTAGCGTTCCGGACAGCTCTGGGACTTTATGGGAGTTTGTTTTTGAGACTTTTACCAACCGTCGTACTCAAGTGCAGGGTCATGCAGACAAAACGAGGCATGGTGCCTACTACCGCTGCAGCATTTCCTGCGCTTTCCGGGGGGAGGAGGGAAGCCCGGGAACGGTGCTTGGACTGCACAGCAGGACATAGGCCACGAGCTGATGCAAATCGCAAATCACGGGCCTCGAGTCTGGAGGTTATTCACTATTTTGCATAATATGGTAGCTGGTAGCAATACTGCAGGGCCAGCAGCCTGTTTGTCACATAGATTGTCCTGTCCAGCAGGGGCAAGACCGTAATTTTCAGAAGTTCTGGGGAGCAACTCATCGTTAGACATGCACAAGCAAAACTCACCATTGCACACTTCATCGCCAACACTGAAAAAGACTCCAATCATGGAAGCAACACATGATAGCCATGGAATTGGGATCTTGAGATATTTTGAACGTGGTCCTGATCAAGACTGATTTGGCAGCCCTGCGTGGACATTGCAGATACTCTTCCGGTGTCGAAACTTTGTTGCTCTAGTTTGGTTTTCTACCCCATGCGTTGTGTGGCGGCTTTATCATGGGCCCGAGGTGGTGACGCTTTTTCGGCAGTTCGCCGGCCATTTTGCGGGCAAGGCATAGAGCAGAAGCGACACTGACACCGTTGGATGGTCGTCATTTTCCTGCACGACACATGTGCTGCAGAAAGGCCGCCACAGAGCATCAACTGCTGACCGCCTTGCATGGTGCGATCACGGGGGCCGAGCCAGCGGGGCGAAATCGTCGCCCCGGCAAGCGTGCCGTGCGTTCCCTGGCTAACACTTCGTCAGATCATTTGGGTTGCTAGGGCTAGGGCAGTCGCACTGGCGCAGGCACTCAACTTCTGCACCACCTAGCAACGGCAGACCATGGGTCCCAGCAGAATCAGTAGCAGGCTTAAATAAATTGAAGAAGTTGCATCCAAAATCAGTTGAGTTTGAACATCTCAGCTGCAGGGCAGCAAAAAATACAACCCCAGTGCAGGTTTATTCTGAGCTTGCTGGATATGATCCTTTCCAGGGACATGAGGGGTTCTCCAGCGCATTATGCAGTGGTCATCGGGCCCATGGTGGGAGGGAAGTAACGAGCTGTGCGAAAAGTTGGTGCAGTGTCACCAGTGGCTCGCATTGGGGATGAAAGCCAACCACGAAGATTTGCATGACTATGATGATGGAGGACAGTGGCTTCATGACCTGCGGTAAACAGCATCTGGCGGTCCCCACAAGTGCTCCTGCTGATGACCGCTGAACGCTGAACAGCCAAGTGCCATGAATATTGTAGATGAAGATGAGGAAAGGCTCCATAAAAGAAAGAACTCGGCATGCGAACTGGCTAGGCTTGGACAATGTGGGATGAGAGATGGCAGGGTGGCACGACGCCTGCAAGACGGCTCAAGCGCCCGATGAAACTCTCGCACCTCAGGTGTGCAGCAGCCTCTTAATGAAGATGACGACCTGTGGTCACTGCTGGGCATTGGAAATTCCAAGGACACACGCGGTAATCCATCAATTTCACTTAAATTTCAGTCCGAGCTTCGGATCTGGTAACATGCCGAGCCGAGCAATTTCCGGGCATAAACTGTGGCAGCCATGACCAGGATATCAGCATAGAGCCCGATCCGCAGTTGCCCACAGGACAGAGTGGCTGAGTTGCTCATTGAACCCGGGGGGGCCGAAATGGCCACAGACTTGTGGCGAGGCCGCAAGCTTCATCAATGGACTTGATGCCAAATGTCTCGCAGAACCTTCGGAGCTTACATCTGCCTGCCATGTTTTTTGCAAAGACCAACTGAAAGAAACTAAGGAAGGACGAGATTCTCAATTTGGCTGCCCCTGACACCGGTCTACAGGTCTGTGGCCGTGGGAACGTCTTGGGGCTGTGGGCTTTGGGGAGGTGTTGGGGGCCCTGCGGTCCAGAGTTTTGCTGTTCCACGACTTATCCGATTTCGGTTTGGCACTTCATGGTCTCGTTTTCTTGGGTGTTGAGGATCAGGGCCGTCAGGGTATCAATATTGGAGTTTGCTGATGTGCCAAAGTTACGAAGATCATGATGCGACAAAGCTGTACACTGATCACGCCCCTTCACAATGTCACATGGCGGGAGGACGTGAGCAATTGCAAAGCGCTTCATGTACCATGTAGCGTAGCCGGTATCGAGGGATGCTGCAAAGAACAGGAGCCTAAACTGTAATTCAATTTTACTGCATTTCCCGACCGACACGGAAGGAGTCAGAAACGCAGAGAAGCCGACAGCACAGCGGAGGTTCTCCTCGTTCACCTCGCTCCAGTTGGTGCGCAGCCAACGTGCGCCCGCAGTTTGCGGGTCGCTGCAGCACCTGGCTTGGAAACAGCGACAAATGCTGAGACCTGCCTACACAATCAGCAAGGGTCATGGCGAGTATCAGCCGAGTAGCGTGTCAAGAGTTGGGGTTGATCCGGTTGACAGTGCAAGAACGATCTCAAGGGTTGAGGATGAGAGCGGAAGCTTGTCGGGCCAAAGTTGTTGTGCGAAATCTGCAAGCCAAGCGTGATCGATGTCCGGCAAACCCTGAGGAGCGTGCCATTCTAAGCTACAGCTCAGGAAATGATATCTGCCTTGCAGAGCACACTGCTGGATTCGGGCCCTGCAGGTCGTGCTATGCTTTCTCAGCTGCTACGTGAGGAAAAGCAGCCAAGTGCATGTGAGCTGATGCTTCGTGGAGCATGGAATGCAGCAGGCACCCATTCAGCGGCTTACTTAGTTTCGATTAGGTTCTATCGCACACACAAGTTCTAAACGTTTCTGACATCGTTTACCCGCGAGACGTTTGCAACCACTCCTGTGTGCCACCAGACACAGACCTTGCGCATACAACGCCCGAGCACGAGTTTTTACTCTCCACTGGACAGATGCAAGCAACTCTCTACCCATGAACTTGGCTAGGTATCGATGTGGGATGATTTTTAATTTAGCTTGTTGTTTCAATTTGTTTCATACAAAGCCCTGTTTGTGAATAATTTGGAGACTGTTGAAATCGACACCTAGTTGGGAAACAACACCAGCGAGTCATCCCGTCCTGGCTTGTGCATCCGGGCAGCGCTCCCATCAGCAAACACATCCGAAAACAAGCGTTTGCACCCTACAAGTTGTCATAGTTATGCAACGTCTGGATGTATCAACGCCCTCCACGTTGTTGCTGGACTTTCACCAGACAGGTCCCACAAGATTTCAGAAGCGCTTGAAAAAGGTGTCAAAACCAGAATCGCTAGACCATCCCTCAAGCGCTAGACCCTAAACTGCACTCAGGCTGAACTACTACGAGCTGGCAAGACAGTTCGACTTTGATGCCCAGGCCGCTTTTTCCAAATTCATTTTGGGTCAGTGCTTAGAGATATTGGTGAATCATGCTGGTACTAGCAGTTCGGATAACACGAGTACCTGTGCAACGATTTTCTGGCTGCAGCATTGAACAAGATTCCTCTATCAAACTCGTGGTGCAGAGTGGAATAGTGGCATCAGCAGCATGCTCGCAATGCACCGTGCTTCAAGACATGGACCAAGGAAGCTCATGTTTCGAGGCCCAGCAAGCTCTTCTCATCATGCTGACAGCAACGGAAAGATGTTTTATATTATACTAGACCAGTAGTAGGTGCGTATAAGGATAAAGCCAGCAACTTATGAACTGACACGCTCCCTCCTTTGTGCGGCGCTGGCTTTGCAATCGGCATCTTGGCTGCATTGCGTCGCCACTTACTCTCGCCCTTCATCACTTAGGTCCACACATCACGACAGAAAAATCTGACAGCTATTACTATTACTATTATTACTATTACTATTATTATTACTATTATTATTACTACTACTATTGCCACTACTATTGCCACTACTATTATTACTAGGCCCAGCAGTGAGTAGTAAGTAAGGCGGCCATGGCCTGTGCTGCTCCGCCGTCCTCGCCAACAGGTCGAGCGGCCGAGGTGGGCCACTGAGAAACCGCTTAAAACTTCTATAAGGGATCTATACGGGTACTAGAATGTAGGGGCATGTAGGGGCCTTAGTAGTTAGATTTCGTGGTTGATGCCTGTCTTTGTCTTTTACAGGACTCCTCGTGAGTCTGAGTATGTTTGTTGTCGCGTGACTGTCCATCTGATATGTACATTACTACTACTCGTGCTGCTTGTCTCGATGTCGGTGCAGTGAAGTTGTTACTCGTTGCGGTGTCTTTGGTTTTGTTTGTGGTCTGGTCGTGGATGTCGCCGACTGTCGTGCTCGAATTCGAGCTGCTTGCGACTGCTGCAGTGCTGCTGGTGCTGGTGGTGATGAGCCAGCTGCCGTCTTCGTTGCCACGGCTGATGCTCCATGTTTTGGACTGGCAGAAGCAGGCATGATTGGACAGATCCGAGAGTAAACAGTTGGACATTGCGGCAGGTCGAGACGGAGATTGAGGACAATGGTGCAGCAGACGACGAGGACGAAGCCGAGACTGGGCCCTTCGGCTGCAACTTCGGAAAGCATGAAAGAAGTTTGTTCCTTCACGGTCATGTTGGGTCTCTGCCACACCACAGGTGGCACTTAACTTCGGCCTGTGCAAGCTGCTGAGCCATGCTATCATTAGTTGAACCCTAGAAATCATACTCGAGTTGGTTACAACTGGGGTGCGTCGGAAGTGGTCGTGCAGGAAACGACCGTAGGACGTGCTGGGGGCAAAGCACAGTCGAGTCAGGAATGCTGAGTCTAGGTTGCTCTCCACACGGCCTTGCTTGTTCTCCGCAGCCCCGGCTATTGCCGACTCATGCGCCAGAGGTCTTCGACACGTTCCCAGCTCAACCATCCTCCACAACCTTTGGTACGCTCATGAACCAGTACTTTGTAGTAGCAACATTACGCATCTACCCTACTCCAACCCCTGAACATTGAGTTTATTCTCGCGCACTGCGGATCGAGCTTCTTGCGGGACATGGCTAAGTTGTCAACTTGTCTCCACACCCGCCTTCGGACTGGCAACTTCCCTCTGTAGATTTGCCAGGTTACCGGCTGATGAGGTAGACGAGGAGCTGGTGGAAGTGGATACAGTCGAGACCATCGAGAGGCCCTGGCAGACGCTGGCAGAATGCTACAAGTGATCTCAGACTTGTCAAGGTCGGCCAACATGCAGCATCCATCCGCTGACAGAGCAACTCCTTCGGAGAGTTCGCGGCCGGCTCAGTCCGAATCCGGTCAAGCCGCCGGGTTTGGTGAAGAGACTTGTCGAAGCTCGCAGGACAGCACGAACTGCAGACTACAGCGTGCCCGAGCAGAGTAAGGAGGCTCCCATTTCTCGTACCACAGCAATGTGCCCAGACAGAGTTTTGGGCCTTGTTTTGGAGGTCTGGAAGCATTTCGGCTGCGACACCGAGGCGGGAAAACTCAGGCTATGCTTTGCTTACATTCAGCCCCGCCGAAATCTCCAGAATAGAAAGACCCTTGCACAGGCTGGGCGCATGCTGAGGAAGCTGTATAAAGGAGCTGCTGGCCTAAACCATGCTGACTGCAAAACACATATTTGGAGCTATTTGAAGAGTTGATGTCGCCATACCAGGTTGAGTGCCCATGGCAGCTTTCAGAAATCGTTTCTGCTGAGCTTCAGACTTCTCCTACTACCTATATACTTGAAGGAGCTTTCTTTTGCTCGCTTGCTCCTTTACAAGCAGAGCCACGAAAATGTAAGTTGCACATGTTGCCGACCAATTTGACTTATTGACATGTAAACTCGGACGGCCTAGGCCGGCAGCCGCGAACTGGGATCGAAGATCTCTTACCCGCAGCTGGCCACCCCAGCAACACGCCTGGGCCCTGGAGAATTGCGATTGCTTGCATGAGTTATCAATGTCCGGAAGCAAACGTGCTCCTCCCATTCCTTCGGGTACTGAGATGAACCGCCCCTCTCAAACTCAGATCGCTTTGCTTTCTCTGAATGTTTTCCCCACTGACTTCGATGCGATACTTTCAGCTCTAGCATCCACATGCAAGGCTGGCAGCCCCCACCGAAAGCAAAGCCAGCAGCTCCAAAGGAGCGGCAACGGGACCGGGGTTGGAGGAGGGCGCTGTGAACGTCCACAGATGGCTCCTGGTATGTAAGTACTATGTACATACAGATTTGTAAATAGATTTTTACATAGACCCAGGGCTCTTGGTGCCGTTCTCGATAGAATGGCCATCTCACTTGAAGTTGCATCGACAAAAACCCCAGGCACATGACGTCTCGACACAGCTTTGGAAGGCAGTAGTCCGCGTGCCGCGGGCAGCAGCGCCCAGGTCAGGGCCTTGGGTGATGGCCCTTTGCAACTCTTCCATGGTGACTGGATCCTTCAGCTTTGTGTTGTTTTTTTTTGAAAAGAGGAGTCTGCTCTACATTCTACATTGCGTGGCCTACAGAAATACCAGTCAGATTGTAGGAAGGCTGTGGCTAACGTCGTAAGGTTTATCCCAGAACTTTCAGCGCTGTGTCTGTGGATCTGGTGTCATCTGGTGTCTGATGGCTGGCGGTGTCAGAGTGTGTATGGCTGGAGTAGAGGAGGGCAGAGCCTGCGGTCTTGCGTAATCCAGTTTCAGTCGCGTTGCATGAACTCCTGCTCAACACGGAGACACGAGACGGCACTGTCCATAGCTCCGCGGGCTGATAGACCGGAGATGAGAAAGTGCTTAGCTCAGGCGCGACATGGACGACCCAAGGCAATGGCCTGCACCTCCCATTCCGTGCAGGTCGGGGGCCTGCAACGCCTCTCCCACAGGGTTCCGGATTTTCATGCTTTCTAAGGAGACCTGCTCGTGAGATCTTCGCTGAGCTTGAGGCACCACTTGCAGTCGTGTTACCATGTGTTACCCAGTTTTGTTTGTGGAGATGGTGGCTTTAAGTGCCGAGTTTGGACCTCAAGAGCTTTCCCCAATCATGAACGTGACGACAGGCGGAGGAGGCGCGCAGACGCCGTGCCCAGCCCGACCTTCCCAAAGGCAAAGATCTGGACCATGAGAAGCAGAACCTGCAGGCTTGGGCAGCTGCAAGTGCCGCATTTTGAGTGGATCTTGTACCTAGGTCCCCAAGCAGCACTCTGCACAATCGTCACGTGCATCTACTTTGCAGAAGACATGCCCTGCGATCCCGCACCAGGACCGATTCCGGTACTGTGGCGGCCGAATGCTGCCCAAGGGCAGCATGGGATATGTGGAGCCTGGCAGTGTCCCGCCAACGGGCGGTGCTGCAGAGGCATCATGCGTCACGTCGCCTGTTATATCGTTTTGGGAAACTCTTGTGCAGCTGAAACTGTTCAAAGGTGCATGACAGAAGAATGTTTGTCGGGGGGGTAAGCACGGAGAATCTGCAAGATGACCTGGACAGGCGGCCACGCGTCGCGAAGACCGGCGAAGGTATGATGAGCTCCTTGGCCGCCCCTTCGCAGCTGCCCTCTGAGAATCCGTGCAATCTATTGCCGGCTTGATGCTTCCAGGAACGGTTTCGACGGCGAACAGCGGGAGATTTTTGAAGATCTCGTGAGGGCGGTGCAGCGCAAGCAGGCCCAGGGCCAAGCAGAACTTTGTCAGTTCGCTCCCCAATGCGCCTTTGTGCTAACTAACCCGCCGAGTCATTCTGAGTTCCTTGTTCAGCTCAACAACTGTCGGAACTCTTGCTCTCAGAAACTTCAGAGACTTAGGCTCGCCTGGCGGTCATTGATGACGAGCAGCTAGCAGATCCCAAGCCCAGCAAGGCCAAGACAGCTCGGAACAAGGAGGCGGGAGATGAGATGGCCTGGTCCTGCTATGACCCCCGAAATGGCCTAGTGCAGTGGCAAGACCATGCAGGCCTTGGAGCTTCGCAATGGTATCGAGCGCATGGGCCTTGGACTGTGCGAATCTGTCTCGCACACCTCCACAACCCCCCTATTGTGTTAACTTGAGACTTGAGAACGCCTGGATCCCGGCCCTGCAGCGCGAAATTTTGATCCGGTGTCCCGTGATCAAACGGTGGACATGGGTCTAACATGGTCTGACGGTCGTTTGTGGACCGTGGATCACTGCCCCCCTTGACCATTGCTCCTTGAACTCCGAAGTCATGCTGCTCGCAGCTTTGGTTGGTGTGAGACTTTGAAGCTCACGCAAGAAAGTTTGTTCAGATCACTCCTACAACTTGACGGGTCTTACCCTGAACTCGTTGACCGCAAGATTGTGGCCGTAGCACTTAGCATCGGCGTTCGGCAATAGTTTGGAAGGGCACAGGCATATTCCGCCTGTTGACGTGAGGGTTCGCATGTACACTCGGGTGGAAATTGCTAGCGCGCGACATCGCGGCAGGAACGTACTGTATGGCCCGGGCAAGTTTTCGGAGTTGCCTGGAAGTGACGACGAAAAAAGGGTGCTGTTGTCTTCCCAGGTGATCTCAAGGACATTGAGACCCTCATGAGCTTAGCCGAGGGGCAAGCGCACAAGGCAGTCTCACCTTGAGATACATGTCCAGTGCTATGCTAAACGTCAATAATACTCCAGCAACAGGATCTGCGAAGCAGAGACCTGTTTTGCATGACCACGATTAGCGATATTAGTCGGCTTTGCGCCGGATGCAAAACAGATTCTCGTGCTCCTGTGGCAAGAGCTCTTGACAGGCGACAGCCGCCTCGTTGAAGTCTCTGGATACCCAGCGAGCCTCCCTAGACAAACTCAGGCGCGGGCCCTGAGCTCCGGCGGGCAGGCGCAGGCAAAGAGTTGTTGTGGAAGTTCCCGGCCTGCTGGCCTAGGGCCTGGTGGGGCCTTTCTGGGAGCCCTGGCAGCAGGTCCCGGTCCCTGCTCCAGCCGCCGGCTACGCGCTGGATGCCCAGCAACCTGACCTCTTCTTGTGCGGAAGGGTGAGTCCAAGTTCTGAAGGCCTACTGCCCCTGCGGCCCCAACTACGGTCTATGGCGATCCGGTGAAGGAGTCGGAAATGCGGGGTTTCTGTGTACAATTGAAACAAGCCGCTGTGATGCGAAATGCAGCTCTCCAGGTATGCCTGGGCACGCAAAGTCAGGGTAGGCGGATTGAAACTTGCCTTGAGCACAACACAGGAGCGGGTCGAGCAGTTGAGAGCTCGACTACAGCAAAGCGGGTGGATCCGGGATGCTTTCAATTACAGAGTTACATGAACTGCTGAAAGTCCGGAAGTCCGGAGTCTGAGATGACTTGGCAAGTTGTGGTTTGTGCGCTTATGACTTATGACAGTGTCACAGGTGTCGGAAGCAGTTCCGTCAGCTACCAGTAGGTCGACTCGACAGGTACTCCCTGGCACAAGGTTTTGCCTTCTTCGACCAAACCGGAGGCTCGGGCCATTCAGAGCCTGAAGATAAGTGCATTCCTCGTTCCGGAAAGGTGGAGCTTTGGACCGGGCAGGCTTCATGAAGCTGCTGGATTGGGTGGGGGTCTCAGTACGCCCATTTCGGTATCAGTAGGCTCGAGTATTCATCAGTTAGACTCGAGCCTGGTTGACTAGCCAGACTAGACAACCGTTAAACCCCTAGAAATGGCCTGTTGAAGCTGCAAGCCGTTGCATCCGTGCGAGCGCCATGCCAGGCATGGTCAAAACATGCGAGCTGAAACCTATGATCACCTTCTTAATGCCCCTTCAATCCCCTTCGTTCATTCCACAACAGTGACGTCGACCAGCCTCAAAAAGAGCCCTGGCTCTGAGGTGCAAGTGGCAATGACAGCAGCCGAGCAAGAGCTGCTCTTCCAGCGTTGCAGCGCGGGACCGGGCCTCCTGTGCGGGGACCGAGTCAAAGAAAACTTTTGTGGGGCTTAGCAGTCGATGTCAGAGGCTCCTCAATATGCCCACCAGACAGAGAAGGGGCAAAACATGTTCGAGATGCATCGTAGGTTGCGGTGCCGAGTGTGTTTTTGCTTAACCATTTGTTTGTCTATGTGGCAGGTCGTGTCTGGTTACTGTGTTCCTTTTACACAGCTGGCTGTGTTTGTGTGCCTGCATCTATGACCTAATTCGTTTTTTTCTGAATGGTTAAATTCTGCTCTCAATGTGCATGGATGTATACATGTATGTATGTGCGCTCGTGTGTACGTGAGTAGGTTCATGTGCCGCGATCTGTTACAGAGATGCAGAGGGATTGACAAGTGGCATGCGAGTTTATGTAGTGCTGCTCTGAGGAACTACCGCGAAGTGGCGAATCAGTTCGACACTTCAAAGCAGGTGCGACACCAAGCTAGAATGTGATCAGGCAAACTTGGAGGGAAGGTCGGGAATCTATGCAGCACTGCACATCTCTGCACTCCAAGGATGCGAATGCCAAAGTGAGTCAGCCTGTTCCTCAACATTGCCTCCAGACGATAGCTAGTTTCTTCCTGCATCCTGTCCTGCCATCAGGCTAGCGGCTTGGTGGAGGGAGCACAACGCGAATTTGGCGGACCTTTTTCGTGCGATGCCCAGTTGCGGTTTGAGCCCTCGACACAGCATCGATCAAGAGTGGCCGAAGCATGACAGCATCCTACGACCTACGATGTACGAGGCTTCTTCGATGCCAATGGTCTGGTTCCCATATGCTGTTCTGAGCATGTCTGTCTCACCAACCATGCACACACACGCACACACCGAAGGTGACAACATGTTGGACAAGGTCGAGTTCACCTACCTCCTCCAAACTGCTTCGAACCCAGGGAGCTCCAGCAAACTCCTCCCGTCCAAGTACCGGATCACGGGCATCAAGGCCGATCCCTACATGCCTGAGCACATGGCCCACACCATTTTCGACTTGTGCTGGCCCCAGACACTTCACCTGCAGCTTGCATTCCCCTGCGCCTAGTGTATTCTCAGAGGGATGTCCAGCTGCGAAGATCTGTGCAACTGTTTTGTCAAGTTCGTGTCTACGTCGACTCCGAGTTGCGCTAAGAAGTGTACCTTCCCAGGGTAGGTAGAAGGTCCGACCCGGCGAGGTCAGCCTCCAGAGGCGGTGTTGGGTATGCCGACTTCACGCGCAGCCACCTCCTCAGAGGAAATCAAATTTGTCCGAAATGACAGGAGAACACCGTAACGCAGACATGGATTCTGCAATATGCAAATATTCACGGCAGTGCTGCTTTGCGCCCAGGCTTCGGCATTACGCCGGAGAGCTTGCCGGCACCTGCCCCGCCACCGGCCGAGACTGTTGCAGCAAGCTTTTGTCAGAGGAGAGTTTCACTTGTCTGCACATTCTGCACCAAGGACACCTGCACCAAGCCCATGGCTCACAGCGCAGATGCCTCACTGCTTATAATTGCTTCAGTGTTTGCTCCATTTGGAAGCCTTCCCCTGCTCGCAAACACGACATCTCCCAAAAGCAATGAGAGGACATGACGGCCTGGTTAGGCTTTGGGAGTAATTCTGGGGCTTCGCTTGTAGCCCACCAAACACTGTGCCTAGGCCCGAAGCGAATTCGCTGACTTCTGTGGCCATCCAGTCTCCAGCAGTGCGGGCATTGGCGAGACGGGAACTCGGAGACTCTGTTAGACATGACCTGACTGGTCGACTGGCCGTGCCTGTCAATCAATGCGCTGTCCCGGCACGGGTAAGCATTTGTGGCGTAACATGTGTATCCGCAGAACCTTCTAGCGACACGCGCAAGCTAATGCCATGGGCATTCACTAGGTCGCATCCGAGCTTGGTTGGAGCCGACGCTTCTGTCCAAGAGCCTGGGCCTAGAAGGCCTGATCATGTGCGGATTGCAGACACTTTGAGGTTCGCTCAAGGATCAAATCCTGTATTTATGTCACAGTGGGAATGATTGCTCGTGCCGCTTGGGCTCAGTCTCCACAGCTTGGAAGAACACACTATCTTGCACCAACATCTGCTCAAGCTTCGTCACGGGGATATTCTGGTAATTTCGTGGTTCTCCCGCTCATGATGGGCCAGTTAACCCAATGAATAACCTGTTCAGTAAAAGACCAGCGGAATGAGCCTGGACCTTTGTCAGGCCTGGGTGGCGGCAGCCGACGAGGGAAGCTCACGAAGCCACACTTCGAGCACCTTTGCCTAGCTGTGGAGCCGGGCTTGGAGGCCCCGACAGGGTCATCATAAAGCAATCCGAATTTTGTGCATTCCGCACCATGATCTGGTAGAGAGTGTTCTCGGTGTTCAGGCTTCAGGTCATGGCCAAGACTGCTCGATGGGGAGTGCTACGTGTTGCAAGGTAGATGCATCTGGAAATTGCCTCGGGTTCCTGCCTGTCTTTTCGAACCTCATTTCTTTGTATTTGTGGTCAATCCGACCCTGGTACTTCTAGAATCCGAAAGTGTATTCGCAGCGAACCACAAGTTGGCCAACAGTCATCACAACAGGCCCGCGAGCTGCTGAGGCTCTTTGGGCAGGCGGGCAGTAGAGGGACGTGGACGTCTTTGGTTTCGGTGCTGCCATAACTATTAGATGTAGGAAATGGTGTTAATGATATGAAGTATATAATATGTAATATACAACAGGACTCAGGCCATAAGAAGCAGGGCTTCGGGGATACAGCCAGCGTGCTCAGCTGGTTACCATAGGCTGAAGTGCATCCGACCCTGTTGCTTATGCAGGAGGTACTTGTGCAAGTCCATACATCCTGAGGCATTTGCCTTCCCTCGGTCAGGCGAGAGCAACGCAGGCGATACCGGGACAAAGCCTCCCGGAAGAGGCGCTGACAGGGCCGAACCTCCAACCTTGGAACTTGTGCATCTTCAACCGTGCACGATACATCTGTGTGCATCAGAAATTGGAAGATTTCTGCTGCAGATCGACGCGGCGGACTTTGTACAGCGCTTCGGGCCTGACAGCCCCGAGCCTCCCCGGTCCCCGGGGCAGGAGCCAAGACAGCCGGGGGTTTTTCGAGAAGTCTCAGAGACTGCAAGGACATGTGGGCCCTCAGTGCCTTGCGTCGAATCGCACCGTGCTTATGTTCAGATATTTACCGGCAAACTCACCTTCATGATGCACAGGGCTTTTTGCGATGAGTCCTTCGCTGCGATTTCACATCTTGGATTGAGGCAAAAGCAGCGAGCGCTGCTTTGACAGGGCCTGTTCTCTCAGCATGTTCACCTTCCAGACTTTCTCTGATCCATCAAGTTTTTCAGATGACGGTTTCGCCGATGTCACGAGGCCAGAACAGGTCTTCCAAAAGTCGGATTCTTGGAGAGATTCCTGGGGCCGCGGGGGAGACTTTCGTAGCTTTCTACACCTGGGAAGGTTTGACATGGATGGAAACGGGTGCCTCAGCTCCTTGGAGTTCGAGCGCTTCTTGCGAACACAGGACTTCCGGGAACTTGGTAAAGTGTAAAGTTGTTTGCTTGTCGGAGACTCGAATATCCCTTGATTTTGGAATACTCCTTAAATCATATTAGGGGTCCTACTATAATTTCAGGTATATTCCTTGAACAAGGGATGTTGGAGTCTCTGGGTTGTCATTCAAAGGAGCCCAATCTGAGTGAGCAAGATGTGACATGGTTGTGGCGGCTGGCGGATTCGGACCAAGATGGCCAAGTTGTGCTTCACGAGTGAGACGCTGAGATGGGCACAACTTAAGCAGACGGCTCAACTGAAATCGAAGAATGCCCCGAAAAGAGGTTCGTGTGGGCATTGCGCCAGTTGCAGATTGAAGCTGATCGCGCCCCTGCCTCAGTGAGTAGACTGCCCTTTATGACCTCGGCTCATCCCGACCAGCCACATTCCTCTTGCAGTTGTCAGTTTCCGAGATTCTGGGAGATTTTAAATCCCAGCTGGAAGCAGTGATTACCACGTAGCGCATTACCGAAGCAACAACCGATGTGATGCACATGGGTGCCCGAAACCGAAGTCTGGTTTCATCGGTTCTTACTGTGCAAGGCCCAACCGAGCACCGAACCGAGCACGAGCAAGGACCAGGCCAGTCTACGTGGTTAAGGATGCACCTCAATTCAGGCTCTTCTCCGGTTTGGGACAAATTGGCTAGCGGCTAGCTATGGCTAGCTTCAAGTGATTCTAAGTGGCTTGAGCCAGTCGTGCTACATCCTTGCCTGGTGCTCGGCGTGAGAGTTCAGAAGTTTCAAACGATTCCAGACCTGTTTGCCTGAAAGCTGGCTTAGATGTAGCGATGCAAGCCACCATACTTAGTGCTCCACAATGACAAAGTTTACATGCACCATAGCTCGGAGAGGTGATCGAGGTGAAGGTGGCCCAGCTGGCACGCCTACTGCACAAACGCGGCTACAGCGTCTTGCCCAGATCGTCGGCCGATCGCAGTTTGGAGAGCCCGGCTGTCCCGTTTCAGGCTTAGAGAAGGCACTGAGCGTGTACGACCGGAAGAGGCATGCTGCTTCTTTGGCTGTGGCGCACCCTGCAAGAGGCAACAGATGCCAACTACGCGAACGTACGACAGCTCCCAAGGATATACGCTATGAAGTACTTTCTTCGGACGCTGACTCCTCGCAAACCTAGAATACTCAGCAATCGCTCCTCTTGCCTCTGCAGACATTACGGCAGTGCTCGGTAAGAAGAAACATGCAGGTCCGGCTTCTTGACCCGGGATTCGTTCAAGGAACTGCGACACAGCTGAATATGAATGAGAACGTGCAAAGTCGAGGTTCGACTGCAGGTTGAAGACCTTGTGCAAATTGAGGCTGCGAGCCGCGCAGTTCAAGTTGTCAGACACAGAGGCTCATCTCTCCGATGGGACGAACAGGATTCAAGCTTTTGTCGGATCCGATATGCAACCCCAGATCGCTCCAACGCACCACACCTGACAGAGAGAGGGGGAAGGGATGGCAACCCTGTCCAAGATTCACATGACATGCGAGGTTTTGGATCGATTGTTCTCCTGCTGCTTTTGAACTAGATGGGGACCTGAATCTTGCCTTGAGGTGGATGAGGTTATGCTTCAGTGTGACACGGCATGTGCCGATGCCTCAGTCGGCGAATTTGTGTGCGGGAGCTGTTGGCTCCTCAGAACGATGGCATCAGGATGGCTTGCTCGATTCACGGGAGCTCCTTCGACGATTGAGCCAGGGGCTCAGATTTGCCTTTGTGCTATCGTGCGGCTGCCACTAGTACCGCCTGGACTCCGACCACACTGGCAGGTGCAGCAGCGGATCGACCAAAATACCAATCTTCAGCACCCCAGCCCCCAGGACCTCCAAGGAATCCGCAACCGCCAGGGCATGGGCCAGCACCCCCGGCTCCGGCTGCAGCTGTCCTTCCGCCTCCCGCTGTGCCGTCAAGGCCTCTACCTCCAACTCCAGGTGCTCCCAGCGCTCCCAGCGCTCCACGCCCTGGCGCCCCCATACCCCCAGCAACACCGCTTCCTCCGGGCGGCGCCCGTCCGCCGATGCCTCCAAGCCCTTCACTTCCAAGGGCCCCAGTCACAAGTCCAGCAGTTCCTTCAGCGCCAGCACCTCCAACATTGACTGCACCACCTGCACCAAGCCCCCCAATGCCAGGAGCACCGAGAGCACCCATCCCTCCTGCTGCCCCTGGCCCTTGCCCGCCTGGGCCTACACCTCCCTCTGCCTGCCCTTTGCCACCTTCGGGACCTCGCATCCCAACCCCAGCCGTCGGGTCTCATTGGTCATCGCGACCTGGGACCGCACCTGCAGTTCCTGCTGCCCCCTCACCGCCAACTCCCTCTCGGCCAAGCACATCACTTGCGCCGGCTCCACCAAGCTTGCTGGGTTCACGTCCCTCACCACCCGGAGTATCAGGACCGTCAGGACCACCACCTCCGAGTCCCAGCTCCAGTCTATTGTCCCGCCCATCTGCACCTCTGCCGATGGGCTGTCGGAATGTGTCTGTTTCAGCCGCGCCACCACCACCTGGCCCCCCTGCGCCTCCGTCGCAAAGCACGGCGGGCGCCTCATGACGCTGTGCTGCCTGAAGTTTGGCAACTGGTTTCAATTGGTGCTGCACCGAGGTGACATCTGGACCGCGCTCGATCCGCTTCAGATAGACAAAAAGTGCAGCGCGATGAGTGGCATTGCCTCCTGTTGCCCCGTTTGCACCAGCATAGCCTGAAACGCGGGATCGCTGCCTGACTCCCTTCTTGGGCTTGGTGGATAAATGCACCCATCGACCATGAATAGAATTCTGACAAGGCCTCCCACTGTTCTACAGAAGGAGCATCAGAATCAGGGCCTGCAACTTCCAGGGCGAGGCTCCCACCCGAGCTGCTGGAGCTTTCACTGAGGATGCCCAGAGAAAGGGGAAACGATCAGATGTTAGTATGGGAGTTCCCCCTAAATAGCAGGATCCTTCTCGTAAGGACCCAAAAAAGGTATCCATAATTTTCGGAAACTCCCGTATGGAAAGCCCACACAGAGAGAGCTTCACAGCATGCAAGGCGAAGGCCCGAGAGGACCCGAGAATCCCCCTGAGCAAACCTCGATCCCATCTTTGCTTCAAGCGGAACTCTGCCTTACTGTAGCTGTTGTAGGTCAGCGAGTGTACTCGTACTTCGAACGTAGAGGACGAGCCCGTCCGACAGAAGCTACAGTGTTCGCAGGCGACGACCAGACCAGAGAGACGAGCAATTGGTTGTGTTGAGCGAGAACAGTTTTCGCTTTGCCCTCCGAAGGCCATCTTGCTTCCCAAATCATTCCGGGGCACAAAGCAGACGGCCCCGACTGGCGCACGAGGATCTGAGCACGTCAGATATGAAGCCACCTATCGCCAAACCTCCAAAGTCCGCCAAGGATCATGCAGCCTAGCCATGCCAACATGTGTCTGCAGCTGAATGATGTCTTGGGAGCCATGGTGTCCTTGCAATCACCTGAAAGCGGAACCTAACAAGGCTGGCTTGCTCAAGCGTGATTTCCTGCATGGACCGGTGTCGTGAGACTGAAACAGGCATTTGCAAGATGACTGCAGCTTGACTAAACTTACGCCCTGTTGGAGTTGACGATTGCAGGCCACCTCAAGCTGTAAAGGCTGAACGGCGTCCAATCATTTCTTTGGATTTCATCATTCCCGAGGTGGGACCATTCCGACTGCAGGCTCTTCGGCTCTCAACACAGATTACCTTGCTGCCTTGTGGCCCTCAAGCGGCGAGCCGCAAGCATGTTTTTTTCCTGCCAGCCACGTGACGTGTGAGTTGCGACGAATCGCACGAAGGGGCGATGATGAATGTCCCTTGAAGCCGACAGCATGCCGCTACAGCCGGAATCACAGCGACTTCAACACAGACTTCGCGACTGCCAAAAAAGGTAAGTTCTACGCACACCGAGCTATCAGAACGAAAGAACGTTAGGCATGTCCAAACTTGCACAAGTAGATTGATTGAAAATCAGACGTTATCGCGCCGTCATGTCCGATCACAGGTCCTTGGCGTCGAAAGCTTGGCAGTGGCTGGTGGCTTACATGCCGTTTCTGTTTCGGTGATTTATGGAAAGCCACGACTGCTCAACTCTGATCCTTCAGGTCTCGCTTCCCGGCAAGGGCGGAGAGGCTCAGCTGTGCAAAGCTGAAGCCATGGCCATCTCTGTTTGTCGTAGCACTCTTGATGCTTTGCAAGGCCCTGGATTGGCTGGCCACTGCCTTGCCAGCAGCACGGAATGCTGGCGGAGCTAAGGGAGGCAAACCGCTGCCACGAAATCCATGTCCAAACTGCTGGAGCGTTGCCCCAGCAGGCTGCGCCGCTCTCAGCGCAGGCGGCTGCAATTCCACAGCGGTGGTGGTACCGGACCGGGCACAAGAAAGTGCGGCCTTCCTTGTCAGCGTGCTTGCAAGTGACACGAAGCAGGAGTCGGCATTGCGTGCAGTCGCCCCACCGCCCGGAGCAAACGTTGACTCCTGGCAAAGGGACGATGGATTGCTGATAGAAGGTGGGCTTCATCATTGCAGCGGCTCTGGCCTCCTATTCGTCTCCGATTCCCCTTTTTTTCCCTCTTCCCGTCATCCTGCTCTCCTTTCTTGGTGCAGCAGCCTCCAGAAGACAGTAACTGTCAGAACGCATGGTGCACAAACCACCCGAGAAAGAGCAAGGAGAAGCTGTTTGTTTGTGTGTGTGTAGTGTGGTCAAAGCATTTCAGACGACATACATGACGTTTGAAGACGACAAGAACGGCTGACCAACGGCAGTTGTTACCTCATGTGCGACAGTGATGCCTGCCAACGCCGCCACTGAATGTCGCGATGGCAGCGGCTGTTACTGCTGCTTTCTCCACCCCCTGCATTTTCACAACTTTCAATGCTGGCGAGACGGCGAGCAGCGTGGTGTCTGTGCCCAGGACACGCCTTGGGCTGCTTTGGAAGTCTCCTTCGCGAAAAGGCACACGGATTGCTTTTAATACCTATCGCAGTACGACATAGTACGACGTGGGCCAGTGCATGTTAGAATTCCATTCTGCATTTACGTGTTTGCAGGGCAGTTGCGAAGTCTATTGTCTTCATTGCTGTCTTGTCCCAGGGCTGTGTCGGATGCTCTGGTGCTGGCCTCACTGGCTCCAGTTCTGTCATCGGCGAAGGTAAGATGGCCGGATACCGAGAGAATACTTCTCAGTCCTCGAACCGCATAAGCAGCAGGAGAGACGAAGCCCTGAGTGAAGCTTGCCGGCCTAGGCGTGCGCTGCCAGCCGCTCAGGCCACGGCAAAACGAGGGCGACGTTGTGCCTTTGCAAGACAGCAGTGCGTGCAGGCACCCTGCTTGCTCCTTATCAGAGAGGACTCAGATGCGGCCACCTATGTCACGCGAAGTAGTGTAGTGCTTGGCTCCCTGAACGCTTGGCCCACTTTTGTCCATGCACTGCGTTTGGTTGGCTCTTCGCAGGAAGATCTTTCTGCAGCCGGTGTGGCACTTGTTCGCGCTGGGCATGCCATCGGCCCGGCCGTATTGGCCTCGGGGTTGATTACCACATACTGGTGCTGCAAAAGCAAACTTGGCTGGCAGGCCCGCGTGTGCCCTCCAAGACCTCAAGAGGACACTGTCCAGCTCTGAGCCTCAGGGCTTGCTCCAGCGCAGCTGCGCGCCAAGAGCCCAAGGCAGCATCTGGCAAGAATGCTGAGCACGTGGGAGCTTGGACCCTGACTCGTCGAGAGGAGCCCCCTGACGAGCAACACGCACTCGCTTGTTCAGCCTACATCTGTAGACTTGCTAAGCTTCTCACGAGGAGCCCGTGGGCAAGACCGTCGAGGAGCCTGATGAGAAAGGTGGCGACAAGCTTTGCTTGCTCACTTAAACCTCAGATCTCGCTTGCACTTGAAGGTCCCTTGCGCTTGCAGGCTCGCGTGCCTTTGTTTTCGCAGCTGCGGACTTCCCAATGACTGCACTTCCAGTGAATGTGACGAGAGCACCGTTCTAGATAATTACGATACTACCGATTCCGATGCTGGCGTGGGATGGCAGGGTGGTAGCACTCTTTGCAGTCTGGAGACTGGCAAATTTCGACAGGCACCGTCTGGAGTCTATGTGGAGGTGCGGCTTCCTCAGGAGGGGGCAAAGGAGCAGGCTCCGCCCGAGACCAATGGAAGAGGAAGAGGGAGGCTCTTCGCTCGTGGCAGGCCTCCTGTGCAGGGATCCACTCCGTCGTCGAGGTCAGCGGAGGTCGCCAGATGAGTGCACGGATGCTCAGTCCTGGGTCGTTGTTCTTCCAGGTAGGTCGCAGCCATCACTTAAAACACCGAGGTGCGGCATCGTGTGGTCGATTTCCGGCCACCTACGGGGCGGGTTCTTTGCACACAGGCACAGCAGTCGTTCTTGCAGCATCTTGCAGCTCTTGGCCATCAACAGAGAACTTCTGCACAGTTTCCTTGCCAGGTGAAGTTTGACAAGGAGGCTTGGGCTTTAGCAGTGACGAACTTCCTGGGTTGCACATCCTGCGTTCGTGAAGAGGTCATGGCTGCAGAGTTGAGTTATCCTCACGGCCGTTTCCGTGATGAGTCTGCCACCCTTCTGTTAACCCGACATGCGAACTTGCGACTGGCATGCTCCACCTGCAGGTACATTGAAGCCTGGTCTCGTATTCATTCGGGTCCGATGGCAGCGTCGGGCCCTTGAAGCCTCCTGCTGTGCAGAAGGGTGAAGGACTGTGCTCCTGAGGTTGGAGTTGATATCCGAAGAGCCTTCTGTGGGACCTTCGCGGACAGGTGGCTCCGGGAAATTCGGCGGATCACGACCGTTTCTTTCCCATCTGATTCCTTGTCGAATTTGTCGAAGGTTATTGGATCTTCTGCGGCAGCCGCTTCGGGCGTGTGATTGGCCTGCCTGTTGGCCAGGACCGTCGGACAAGGGCACATAAATGTCACGACATGTCCTCCTGAAACTGGGCTAGCACGAAGCGTGGATGCGTCCCCAGGGAATCGCCTCTGCTCGAGCCTCAGGAAGCTTCGTTTCAATGTATCGCAGACAGTGTGGAAGACAGGGCACCTGCTGCGGATCTCTGGAGCAGCTTGAAGTATGTTTGGGTGGCGTTGGAAGCTCAGACGCTTCGTGCTTGTTGTTGGAGGTTGCAGTTGGCAAGGGCCGGCCCAAGAGACATTTAAGCCGCAAGCTGGAAGGCTTCTGCAAGGGAGGAGCTGCATACACGCTACGAGGTCAGAAACCAAGATCGGCTGCGTGAAGCTGCATATGGAACAACAAGAACAGAGCTCGAAGCGAGCAGCAAGTAGGCTGTTTGGGGCGACATCGAGCGACCAGGGAGGCTGCGAATCCGCGAGGAGGTCGGGCAGAGAGCTCATATGAGATATGTGAAACCACAGGTGCAAACTTGCCTCAGGTTTGGTCCAAGAGCAAGTCCGGCGATTTGATCTACGACCAGGCAGCCGACAAAAGAGCAGCAGGGGCTTGGGTGTTGGAGCACTACCTCAGACATCCTCAGACAAACAGACGAACGTGTACGCAAAGGAAACGGGCGTCGCGAGCCGTCTTTGAAAGCGCCTTGCATCTTGTTTAGGAATCTGATGGCGGCACCGGCCGCGATTTTTCTTGCCGGAAAGGCATTCATGTAGACAGGAAAATGGGAAAGCGAATGAAAGACGTTTTTGAATGCAGAGTGGAAAAGATGAATGGACCCACAGCACCGGAGCTGGTGCTCAGTAAGGCAAGGCGGCTCTAGGGCAAGGCCGGAGAAACAAAAACAGTATGCCACATCAAAAGTTTGCTCCAGCTGCCCCTGCAACCAATTCCTTGGCAGAAGTCGATGATACACGACTTTAGACCGCTTGTTCCATGGTGTTCGCTATCGAGCACTGTGAGCACGGTTTTGAAGTTCGGATGTCGCACGCCGCGATGCGAGTGGGTGGGCAGTGTTGTTTTCCTGTGGTGAGGCAGGCCCATTCCGTCAATCTGCTTTCGGTACAGAATTATGCGTCTGATCTCGTCGCCGGCAGACATTGGGTAGAGCTTCGTATGGGAAGAGGAGGAGCCCTTTGAGCAAAGCATCTCTCGATGCAGGCGACTGGCGTTGGTGGCACTCTCACCTTTGGTCCGAGCGAGGCAAACTGATGCAAATTGCGAACCATCGTAACCGCAGAACACAACTTGCATGGCCCAGACCTCCGGTGGAAGGTGCTGCACTGCTTGCCGAACGGCGTCAAGCAGCGATGGTGGGCACTCCTGATGTGTGGCACGGACATGAAACGAAAGCATTCCACGTTGCAGGCGCATCCGTGACTGGGGCCTGGTACTTGGAAAATCTTGGAGACATCTTAACCGTCTCAGCATCTTAGACCTGCATCTACAAGTTTGATTTGATCTTCTCAAGGATTCGATCCCTTCCGACCCGGTGGACCGTTGCCTGCGCCGCCAGAGATCTCAGTCGTCGCAGAAAGTTGTATGCGCTGGAGAGTCGGACATCCTGTTCTGAGGCCCGGAGCGGAGGCCTGCAGACCACTCTGTTAGCGAGCTAGCCGGACAGCCTCGGACAGTGCCACAGTCTGTGATGGGAGGCCATTCAGTCTGATGACGAGGCAAGGCTGTGGTGCGACATTTAAAATTGGCTTTTGGCAACGCATGGCCTTCTGTGTTGGCCCGGATCTAGTCTAGTTTGAGCAAGGTTTTTGTTGGCCAGAACAAGAAACCTGGACTCGTGCAGTTCTCTTCGTCGTCCAGCTCCTCTTCAGCATCGCTTGGGTCCCAGCTGTTGCCACAAAAAATCAGACCTGACTCACCGATTTCTGTCCGGAAGCTTGTCAAGGAATGCAGCCGGGGTTGCGGCCGCCCATCCAGCAGCTCCCAAAGCTGCCCCAGGAAGGTTTGCATGCACAAGTGGCACTCCCATGCCGAATCCCCATTGCCCATTCTAAGCTGTTAACCGTGTAGCCTAAGGGTGCCTGCGTTTCTCTTCCTGAAGACAAAAAGTATGGCAACAGACCTCGTTTCAACATGGTTCAAGTCGAAGCACACAAGTAACACCCAGCGATATGAATCATCGATGAGGAGCTCAGGCGGTTCCAGCTCCTGTGGCGCTGGCCTCAGGGATTAAGCACCGTTATCACACAAGTTGTTGTGCATCGCCCGCAGCATCCCAGAGCCAAAGCCACGGACAGTCCCTCGAATCAGACGCAAACGAGACTCAGGGAGGCGGACAAGCATAGCCACAAGCCAACGGGAGATGCTAACCGGAAAAACTGGAAGAAGGTGCCAAGCTAATGTGAAGCTGAGGGCCTTGCTGCCTCATCCTCTTTCCTTAGGATGGCTGAGATCTTGTTTTGGTCCCGAGGTCATGTCAAGCAGTTTTGGCTATGTCGGGTGGGGCATTGAGTGGATTCGAGTCTTTGCTACCCTCGTGCATTGTCATGTCGACCTGACCCGCGGGTTCGGGCTGGGTGGCTCATGGCAGAAATGGCAGCTGGTTCTTTCGAAAGTGCAGAGAAAGGATTTTGTGAAGTTGTGGGGTGTTTGCATCAAGAAGGCAAGCACGCCACCAGCGCCGGTTCAGGCAGCCCGATGCCCAGCATGATGCACCTCTTGCGGAATAGATCGACCTTAAGAGAACTCGCGCATGCCACCACTTTCGACAACTGCGAACCAATGCAGCTGAGAGATGAATCGGAGGCAGTGGCTGTGGCAGCCGCAGCCTCTCGTAGCCGCTCCCACTCCAGCTCCTCCGCTTCCAGGTGCCATAAACGAAGCGCTAACTTAGCTGAACTCAAATGCAGAAACTGCACACTGTGTGGCCGGAGGCGGAAAGGAAAGACCAAAGACAAGCAGCGGGACAAGCGTGAGAAGGAGAAGGACACTCGATGGAAACGGGGCTCCAATAGATTCTGAGGTGATCACAACTACGCTTTGTGTGGCAGGCCCGCAGCAGGGACCGGCGGCGCCGTCAGGCCTCAACAGCGGTATAGCTGCCAGCAGCAACATCACGTAGCATTTCGGTCTATGCACTATTATCACATTCGCCAGGCAAGCGCAAGTGCATCTCGGCACCATCGTCGTCGGCATGGCAGGCGAAATGATATTGAGCCACTGCTGTGTGCTCTATTCTTGCACGTCAGGCGCAGGCGGGACTCTTCCCAGCCCAAGGCCAGGGGTTGTTTTTCTATTCTTGCCTCCAGAGAAAAGCCATATCTCAAAAGTCTTTGGGACCATTGCGGTCTTCCACATGGCTTCAAGTTTGGCTTCAGGCACCAAAGGCAGCAACGCCGGCCTCAAGCTTGGAAACCTGCACGTCCTCATCTCATGACAGTTCCCTACTGCCGCGCATTGTCCTAGGCCTACCCTTTTGGAGCTTACCCTCCACAGGTGCGCGTCCTAGGGCGTGCTTTAGACTAAACAGGCGTGCGAAGTGGAGCACTCTGAAGCTGCTCACAGGCAGCTTATCCACCATTCCCGGCTGGCCGAGAGCTTAGCCGAAGCTCTCCAAAGAGTCATGGGATTTGAGCAGCTGTTCGATTGAGGAAAGGCCCCCCCTCCGCATCTTCCTGCATACCCCCCAGCGTTTGGAGCCTACACTTCCTTAGTCCATGCCGGAAACATCCGTTCTGAGCCGTGGGAATGCTGCATGACAGGCCTCAGGCCTTTGGCCCACCAGGCCAGGAAGTCGTTTAGAGTCTTCAAGTGCAGTGGGCGACATGTGAGGTGACAGAGTGAGCGGGGTACTTGTAGCAGCAGTCTTTGGAGCCAGGTTTCGCTCATCCGCCACCTGGATACCCACCCCACCCTGCCCACCCGCTACCTCTTCACCACCCACACCCTCGTCCAGCGCACCCAGTGCATCCACATGCATTGCCAATGCACCCACACCCGGGACATCCTCACCCGGTACATCCCCTGCCAATGCATCCTGCACATCGTGGCTGCAGCCTTAAAGGGCACTTTGTTTTTTAAGTTCCTGCCTGCAACCCAGTTGACATTTCCAGTGCATGTCCAGGGCATCCTGCCTACCCTTGGCCGCCCTATCCAGGACAAGCCACACCAATGCATTGAATAAGCTGGAACGAGACGGCTACAATTAGCACTGCAGGAGCCCACTTCCCACGGCCAGTTGCCAAGGTTGGCACTGCCAGGAGACCTTTCAATGTTTCTCTCTTGGCTAATCACCCTATTCCAGGTGCCTGCTCCGATGCATCCTGACAGAGAGGCCAGACATAGCCGGAGCCGTCGAATTACGAGCCGGCATTTTCGCCTTGACCTCAGGACGCCCCCACTGGAGACAGCTGGCCACCCAGATACTGGCAAGGCCCAGACCGCTCGTACCCTTGCGCCTTGCTGAGCCTTTGCTGAGGCAATGGCGCGGCCGTCAGGAGCTCGATGTAGGGCTCGAGGCGAATCACGTTTTCGAACTCGGAAGTCCAAAGCTTAGAGCGCCCAGGCCAGCCTGGCTTCAGGCGCGAAGACTCTGCCGCCGAAGGCAGCAGGGCCAACGCCAAAGGCACCGGGGCCTCCTCTGAATGCCTTGAGCCTTGTCGGAGCCTTGTGCATGGGAGGTCGAAGGTATCGGGAGCGCGTGGGGCCAGCCTTGTGGGGGGGCACCGCCGCCTGGGGCACCACATGCCAATGGAGCTCTTGGGGCGAGCTGGGGCGATCCTGTTCCAGCCAAAGCACCCGCAGCGCCTGCAGATCCCAGGGTTGATTGGTTCTGCCGTCAACATGGCTTGGATGCGGTGGTCGAGAGACGCCTCAGACAGCTGGCTCCGGACGCACAGCGTCGCGTCATGGACGAGGGCCCTATTGGCGCCAATCCTTCCTTCGAAGTGACGAGTCGGATCCACCGAATCGAAGCATGGGAACATGGCCATCACGTGTCGAGCTTTTGCGCGCGCCACATCGTCTCCCCGCAAGCCCAAGATGCACTCAAAGCCCTGTCGCCGGACATCGCGCGCAAGGTCATGTCCACGCCGCTCACTAGCCCAGATCCTTCCAGCGAGCTTCTTGGGCGATGTAACGATGCCGGCAAGGACTTTGCGGTGCAGTGACTTAGTTGACTCTTTGTGCTGTGTATATTGTTTCTGCAAGCCAGCAGAGACTGTGGTGCAGGATAGCTTGGGCCAAGCAGAGGACCCGAGGCACGCGCAGCAGCCAAAAATGATTATTTGCTGCCCTGTCTATGCTTGTGGCAAGAGCCCGAGGAAGCAAAAGTCTGGAAGCTCCAGCTCGATGGATCCTCAGACTGGGCGCAGCAACCGCTCAACATCCCCTCAGTAATAACAATAAAAGCAATCATGATTATAATCATCATAATGATAACTATCATCTTAATAAGAATTGCAATAATATGAATATCTAGGTCTTATGGTAGCACCTGCGCCTCAGGTCCTCGGAATCTCGATCACGCAGCCCGCGGCAATGAAGCGGTAACGAGCATATGTTCGATGCGGTGCACGAAACAAGAGAGCAGTGTTGTTTTGTCAAGTGTCGTTGTGCATTTGGTGCCCCAAGCCGGGGAAACTTGGAAATACATGAATTACCTTCCAGCTGGCCATGCCCGAGTTCTCAAAATGCTGGTAGGGCCGCGTCACAACCCATTTGGTTCCCGATAGAACCACCAACCTCCGTCACCATCGCCAATGCCAGTATCGTCTTGACACGCAAGACATGCAAACTTGCTGCAGCAAGAGTAGCAAGATCCGAATTCTCAGTCAAAGTGGATACTAATCCGGCTGCAGCACTTACGGCGCACATCGTTAGCAGAAACAACACATCACAACTTGAAGCTGGAACTGCGGTTCTATCTGGGCTTCGCCTTGCCATTAAAAGCAATGGTGAAGAAGAAGTTTGGCGGCGAGAAGGTCGACGTGAAGGGTGTCTTGGCACCGGCTCCTGCTGCTCCCAAGAAGCCTGCTGGATCAGCATGGTCCAAGGGCGCCGGCGCTGCCGCAGAAGCCTCTGCATCGGCCGGCGCCGGACCAGCACCTCCTGCAGCTGTGCCAAAACCTTGGGCTGGAGGCGCAGGCATGGCTGCTGCAGCCTCAGCTCCATCCCGTGCTCCTTCAGCTCCGTCGGGATCAGCTACCGGGGCGTGGGCGAAAGGGGGACCGTTGGGGCTAGCAGCCACAGCCACCTCCCTGCAAGCAGCGGCTAAGCCAAAGTTTGCGCCTGGCCCACGAGCACCAGTTGGCTACGCAGCTCCCCAAAGACCTGCACTCGGCCAGAAGCAGCAGGCTTCTCCAGTCTTCAACGCAGCAGATTTCCCAGATGTAGAGAAGCCGAAGACTGCCGCAGAATTGGCAGAAGAAACGGCAAACAGAAAGGCTGCCAAAGCCTTTCCAGAGGTGTCGAATTGTGCTGAAGCACTGGCGGCCTTGTGCAGTAGAGCAAGTGTCACAGAGTCCTCTGATATCGGCCGAGCTACATCAGGCTTGTCTTGGCTGCTGAACACTTTGACAAGTGCATCAGATATGTCAGATGACGATAGAGACAAGCTCCTGAGAGCAGGAGCCTTGGTAATTGAGGGTGTGGCTTCAGATGAGGCGAGTCTAACTGCTGTTGATGAGATCCTGAAAGGGTATTTCCAAGAGCAGCAGCACAAGAGCAAGAACACACCACAGGTTCTTGAGGCCAACGGCCTAGTCGACGCTTTCCTTTTCGGAAAGCTGGCGCTGCAACTGGAAGCTGGAAGCCCCAGGCAAGGTGCCATTAGGCTGAGAATTGTAAGGCGGCTGCAAAAGCCAGCGACTTCCGCTGTCGTTCAGCATGCTTTGGCAGATGCCCTCGTGCCACTACTGGCAGCAGACCCGGATGCAGCCGAAGCGATCTGCCAGAAGGACCTTATCCCAGATTTATCTTCTGCACAGGAAGGTACCCGGCGTGGTGCAGCTTTAGGAATTGCTGCCGTCGTACAAGGATCTGGAGGTGTGCCGGCAATGAAGAAGTTGGGCACCATGGAGATTGTGAAGGAGTACGCAACCACTTCGGGGAAGACATCGGCGAGCAAGCGTCAGGCAGCACTGTTTCTGCTGCAAGCACTTGCTCAAGCCTTGGGTCGAACCTTTGAGCCCTTTGCAATGGCCTCAATGCCTTTGCTCTTGGAGAGCTGTTCAGACTCCGCCAAAGATGTTCAACTTGCTGGGCGCGCTGCAGCGAAGACGGTTGTAAGCCAGGTGAGCAGCGTTGGTGTACGGCTCATGATTAATCCTGTGCTGGAGGGGCTCAAGGACAAGCGTTGGCGAACGCAACTTTCGGCAGCGGAGCTGCTGAAGCCAATTGTGTCAGAGCTAGTTGCAAGTGCACCCAAACGACTGCTGGCCGTAGTCCCGAAGGCTGTGCCTCTCCTTTGTGATGCCGGAGCCGGCACCCGTGCAGAGCTCCGTAACGCTGCGCGAGAGGTCCTAGAGCAGATCGGAGCTGCTATCGATCACTCTGCTGTTGCTGCACTATCATCAGATCTCATAGCCGCACTGCTGGAGCCAGGCGATATGGCACTAGCTAGGGCGCTGGATGGCCTCCTTGGAACTGTTTACACAACCTCAGTGAGTGGTGCCTCTTGCGCTCTTATTTGCCCTGTGGTGGAACGTGCCATTTCCAAGGGGGACGCTGAGGTTCGACGGAAGGGAGCCAGCTTTGTCAGAACCTTGAGCCAGTGGGCGGTGGATGCCGAGGAGCTGGGGCCCTACTTGGCTACGTTACGGCCACAACTGGAGGCTCTCCTTGCCGATCCTACTCCAGCGGTCCGAGACGCAGCCGCGCAGGCCATTGGAGTCTTAGCCGCTGCAACCTCTGCATCAGGTGGCGATGATGAAGGTGCTGGTGATGCGCTAAGTTTACGTGAACCTATTTTCTTTCGGTTCTGACGTATTGTACCATTTTGCTTGTCCGGGCTCGAGGTAAAGTACCCCTAAGCGGGGGTTCCACACGACACTCTGCGGGGTCTGTCGGGTAACCTTCCGGGCCTTCTTCATCTTGGCAAGTTTTGTTTTGGGCAGGGCATGTGATCGCGGGGACTACTTTCGGGCGTGTTTTGAGCGACTCAACTTGCTTCCTCTTGAGCAACAAGACAAGAACATGACTTGCACTTTCCTTTTGCAAAGATCTCAAAGCACTGCTCAGTACTTTGTATGACAACTAAGGTGATGTAGCCTCAACTTTGGTGCAAAAGCTGCAGGGCACAAGCGAAGAAGCAGAAATGGAGGGCGCTGCGCAAGGGTTGGCAGCGGCGCTGGCGGCATCTGAGGATCGCGCTGAGCTTTTCGAGCAGATCCTTAAGGGTGCGAGAAGTGGCCGCATCGGATTTCTCACAGTGATGGCACATTTGCCAAAAGCGCTGAAAGACGCAGCGGGTGGTGAAGATGATATTACTTCGACCCTTGCTGTGTTGAGCGAAGCCCTGTCTGACAAAGATGAGGCCATCAGGAAAGCTGGTCGCCGCGGCTTGACTGCTGTGGCAGAAGGGTCCAAGAGCCCTGAGGTAGCAACGGCCCTAGCAGCAGCATTGGAGTCAGCGTTACGCGCCGATGAGCCGCAAGCACGAACTGCAGCAGCTGAATTAGCACTCATCCTGCTGGCGCAGAAGACATTGACACCAAGTGCAACCCCTGCCGCATGGACAGATCTCGTGGCAGCTGCCGTGGTGGCTCAGTCTGACGCCAATGCTGTGGTTCGTCGGGCAGCAGACCGAGTTTGGCGTGCAGCAAACGAGGCAGGTGGTAATACTGGAAAGCAGCTGAAAGATCTTCGGCCACGTCTCCTCGAGCGCCTCGCCGCCGACCTTTCAGGGCCAAGAGCCACTGTAGCTGCGGCAGCAGGCCGTGCAGCTCTGAATTTGCAAGAACGGTTTGAGAAGCTGGGTGTTATTGAGGACTTGGTGCCGGCACTCCGTGACGCCTTGCAAGATGGGGAACTCAGCATCAGAAGATCTGCATGTGAAGGTCTTTCAGAAATCTTGCGTGATGTGAGGGCCCAGAAAGTCATCTTAGAGGACTCAGAGCTGGTACTTGGGATCAAGGGCGCCTTGCTCAAAGCCGGCGAAGATGAAGGCCGAAAGGCAGCCGCTTCCTGCTGCGCTGGAGTGCCGTCTACGATGTTGGCAGAGCCTATTGTGGACGAGCTTTGCCAGATTGAAGTTGGTCTCGATGATGAGCAGCGCAAAGGCTTGGAGCGATTGGTTGCGGGCATTTCTGGCAAGTCTGCTTCATTCTTGCCAGCTTTGGTCAGAAGAGCTAGTGTTCCGCCCCATAACCTGGGGCAGATCTCTTGCCTGACTGCGGCAGCGGCTGCAGCTCCGGCTTCACTGCGAGAGGTGACACCAGATCTGGCATCTGCATGCGTCGATGCGGCTGCAGTTCTCGAGAGTTCCGAGCCTGGTCCGGCATGCAGCGCTGCAGCAGCAATCCTGTCGCAGTTGGATGAGGCTGGTGCCGACGAGTTCATCGCCGCTTTGGTTTCTAAATTGGAACTTACTGGCAAAAGCAACCAGTCAGAGGCAGCAGCACATATTCTGACAGCTTGTTTTGGATCAATGCAACGGCCTCCATTACAAGCAGAGGTTTTGCTAGATGTCCTGGTGCGAGGTGCGCTGATCGGTTCACCTGACAGATCCTGTGCCAAAGCTTACTCACTTGCGCTGCAGGGTTTGACAGGGTTGTCTGGGGCTGCATCACTGTGTCAGTCACTTGCGCCCTGCCTTGCTGCAGCTTTGTCCAGAATGGAAGGGCAGATTGCTCCAGAGGCGTTAGATGCTTTGGCTCCGCTTCTACAATCTGTGGCACATGCTGGTCAGCAGCGGAGGTCTCTCGCAGAGTCCTGCGTAGGACTCTTTCAACGCACAGCTGACTTGGATTTGCAAGGCCACGCTGTGAAGCTCGCAGGTCCACTTCTCAGGCTTCTCGGCGAGAAGGATACAGACCTCCAGATCGCCGTGGTTTTAGCCATGACAGAGTTGCTGCAGCGCACTACAGCATTACGGCCGCTTGTTCCCGCACTTCAGACGCCGCTGGTACGATTGCTGGAAGGTCCAGCTGAGGTGCACAGCGTGGTTGCACAAGCCCTTGGTGCTTTGGCTCCGGTCGTTCCCCGAGCAGAAGCACTGGTGAAGTTGCTTTGCAAGCCTCCCTTGAGGGCGTCTAATGTCTCAGCGCTTGCAGAGGTCATGAAATCTATTGGGGAGTCGGCATCGTTGTCTGCAGAGGTATCTCGTGAAGTGAAAGCAATCCTTGATGCCTCTGCTAACCAGCCGTAGAAGAACGAAGTAGAAGTTGTAGTATTCCGGCGGCATGGAGCAAGGTAGACATGAGTCTTCAGCACACTTTGGCGAACTCCGCTTGGTCATAGTCACTTCGTATGAACCTTCTAGTCCGGTAGCTACTTGAACAAATCCTGCGAGCCCCATTTCACCAGGTGCCGAGTTTTTCGGAGAATGTCGGACAAAGATCTGCGAGTGTCAAAGGCGGAGCTAGAAAACAGTGCCAATGTGTGCATGCACATAGATTGGAAACATATCATTTGCCGGCCGGTTGTGCACACAAAGATTGCAAGCCTTGCCCCATATGGCAGTATTTAGCAGCACCTTCGTTCCTGCGCAATCGGCCCCTCCACATCGTTTAGTCGTCTTTGGAGCTATCAATATCGTTTTTGCAAAGTTTGCTGTTGGCAAGCAGTAAGACCAGTAAGACCCGTATTCAGATTACATGGTCCTCAGAGTCTACTTAACGTCATGCAAAGTACTTCCGACACTTGTGGTAGAGACATGTAGAGACGACCCCTCCCCACGCCGCAATATCTTGCGGCCTGACTCGAGCTTGTGGCAGAAGCTGCTGTTCTTTCAAGGAAAGAA